TATAATCCCAGCACTCAGGAGGCTGAGGCAGGAGGATCAGCATGACTTCAAGGCCAGCATGTGCTGCGTAGTGAGTTTGGGGCTGCCCTGAACTACACAGTGAGACTGTCTCAAAAACAAAAAAAGTTTTAAGAAAATTATAGGGTGACCATTTACCAGTTCTGAAAAGTTCTTCATAAGCAGCATTTATTGACACGTAATCTTTCAATACTTACATACGCTGTAACTTTTTGGCCTACTTCAATAATTTCTGTTGCTTTGTTTCTAATTGTGTAAGGTTGTTATCCTGACTTGCCTCAGTGCTGGGGACTGAGCTCAGCTCTGTTTAAGTTTTTCTTTTGAGACAGAGTCTTGCTAAGTTGTCCAGATTGGGCTTCAACTCGTGGTGCTCCCGCTGCAGCATCCCAGAGTGCTGGGGTTGCAGGTACCTCATGCCGAGACCTGCTAAGTTTGTGATATTTATAAATAGCACTGTACAGGATATTATAAATAATTTGCTCATTTTATTTGCTGAGACATTATTCCTGAAAGAGGAATTACAGCCTCAGAGTGAGACTTTTTTGCCCGGTGTGGTGGCACACATCTGGCAAATCCCAGGATTTGGGAGGCGCAGGCTGGAGGTTCACCTAGAATGAGGCCAGCCTGAACCTAAAGCAAGGCCTGTCTCAACAATACCGACAAAAGCAGGAATCTCCAGAGTGAGTTTTTTTTAAGACCTTTAAGGAATCTTTGGACCCTGCCTTTTAGAGAGCTGGTGGCCACTGGTGCCTCGGGTGGAGACCATGTTTGTTTCTCTCCTGCGTTACTCCTGGCCCCTGAGAGCAGGAAGCTGTCTCCACTGAGCTGTGTGTGGAGTTGCCAGAGCTTCCGCTGGCTCAGCCTTCGGGTGCCAATTTGGAAGTGCACAAATGCCAAGCCTGCAGATGCAGGGGCCTAACGGTGTAGCCTGCGTTGTTTTAACTTACTGGGGCAGCGTGAGCCAGGGGAGGCCTGGCCTGGGAAGGTGCCCCTTGTTTGTTCCCTCCATGTCTCGGTCCTCCCATCTCTGTCCCCACGTCACCACAAGCTTGCAGCTTCTGTTAAGAGCTTAGAGTCGGGCAGGGTGAGCAGGTCTTCCCAAGCTGGATGTGGTGGTGCACGCCTGTAATCCCAGCACTCAGAAGGCTGAGGCAGGAAGATGGTTGTGAGCTCAAGACCAGCCTGGGCTACAAAGTGAGTTCCAGGCCAGCCTGAACTGCGGAGTGAAATGCTGTGTCAGAACGACAGAAAAAAAGTCTTCCTGACCGTTTCTTAAATGAGCCTGTGACCTTGGCCTCGGGGCTGGCCGAGCCTTGCAGGTGCCCCAGCCCTTTCTGGTGCGGAAGGCAGCTCCACCTCGAGGCCGCCCCCGACCCGTCCGTCTCGTCCTAGGTTCTGCCTCGGAGGACCCACCAGCGTCCGGGGATTCGGCATGCACAGCATCGGGCCGCAGAGTGAAGGTCTGTCCGCTGGCTGAGACGGCACGTGCGGGGCCGGTCCCGCCCCGTGGCTGCGGCCGCCAGCGCGGTGTTTGTTGGCAGCAGAGCAGTGCTAGGTGTGCACATTCCACCGCGTTGGGATTAGCACCCCAGCCGGGATGGGTCACACAGCAGACCCCCTGCTGAGGAGACTGTAGGAAGGTGGCATTGTGTGTGTACCAAGAGTGATTTGAAAAGCCAGGCTTGGTGCTGCATGCCTGTAATGCCATCACCGGGGAGGCTGAGGCAGGAGGATCTTAGGAACCTAAGGCCAGCCTGAGCTCCACCACAAAACATCCAAGAAAAGAGATTTAAAAATGATATTATTTTAAAGAATTAGTGAACCTGTGATTAATAGTAGCCCTAAGCTTGAGCCGAGAAGCCCAATGCCCACCAGGAATAGGATGTAACTGCCAGCTCTCGAGCGTGGGGACGCATCTCAGAAGTGCGTGCCCAGCAAGCCAGGCCCGAGGAGTGCGTGCTGTGCTTTCCGTTTAAGCAGCTTGGGACAGGCCACACTATTCCGCGTCCTTAGAGGGCAGCTGTGGCGTGGGTGGCGGGACTGGGAAAGGCCTCGGTACGTATGCACTGGAAAGGAAGTACAAAGCCAGCCTGACAGCAGGAGAGAAACGGCCAGTTTCCTTCCGTCATGGTCAGGCATGAAAGCATGTTCTTAAGGGTTATAAATCATCCAGGGGAGTTGCATGTGGTATGCTAAAAAGTGCGCTTACATATTACCTGTGCATTGCACATAGTGTCATATGTAGTCCTGAGGAGAATAGGGCATTAGCTAGGTTTTTGAATGCTAGAAGTTAAATTCTCAATTTTTACCTATTTCTGTGTCCAGTTTTCTAGAGAGCACATTACTTTTCTGATCAGAATAAATTACGTAAGAGGGGTGGGCTGTTTCTAAGAACAGAGTTGCTCTCCGGCGTCCGTGTGCTCTGTTTCTTTGGGACTGTAGTATTGAAAGTACTAAGGTGACCTGCGGTCTCTGAGTGAACCTTTGCTCTTCAAGGTTAATCTTGAAGGCTGCGACCTCTTTCAGGGCTCTCATCTTGTATTAGAGGGGCTCAAGCGCTGGAAACAGTGTTTTGGTAACATTGTAGCAGCTTGGAGAGCTTTTTATAGCCTTAATGTTACAGTTATTTATAAACAAAGTGTCAGATAGGAGCATTTACAGAAATAATGCAAATAGCAGCTCTCAGCTGCCAGTTTTGAATTTTGGCAAAAGCAGCCTTTTGCCAAATTTCTTTGCTTCCTGGGAAGCAAAGATCTGGGTGGTCCTGGACCGCTGAGACACGGCCTCTCTCCTGGGCCTGAGCTGGGCTGCCCTGGGGATGCCGAGCCAGTCCAGCAAATGGTCAGTCTTGGAAAGTCCACAACAATGCTGCCTTTGCGTGGCAGAAGCGCCTGGTGTGTGACGGATGGGTTCTCGAGGTTCAGCCTTTTGTTCAACCCATTTTTCAGACACAGCCAACTGCCAAGTGCGCTCTTCCCTCGCCCGTCCTGCCCCAGTTGTGAGAGGCCAAGAGAGAGAGGGGCCGCTCTAAACAGGCCAGCAGCCCCATGGAGCAGGCGCCCAGCGCCAGGCCCCGTGGGGGCCTCCTGTGTGACCCCCTCCCCTCAGAGCTGGCGAGGTCCGTGTGGCATCCACGTTCTCAGGCCTGTTGCTGTCCCCTCCCTCATTAGGGGACTACCTGGGTGGCGAGGCATACTGGGCCGGTGGCCTGCACCTGTACACCCCACTGCCCTTCCGGCCAGGTCAGGGCAGCTTCGGAGAGCTTTTCAGAACCCACTTCTTCCTCAATGCAGGAAACCTCTGCAACCTCAACTACGGTAAGACTCAGCAATGCGGGCCGTCCTGGCGCAGCGGGAAGGGGGTGTGGTGCTGGCGATGGAACCTAAGGCGCTGTCTCTCAGCGTGGGCTCGAGGGGCCCCTAATCTCCCTTCACGTGTTCTCCTGGAACAGAAGGCCTGCATTAAGGGCCACCCAGGCTGGACGGGGACAGTGAGGCAGTCTGATGGCCATGTCCTCTCTCCCCAGGAGAGGGCCCCCGAGCGCACATCCGCAAGCTGGCCGAGTGTATCCGCTGGTCCTACGGCGCAGGCATCGTCCTCCGGCTCGGCAACATCGCGCGGCTGGAGCTGAACTACTGCATCCCCATGGGCGTGCAGCGGGGCGACAGGTGCGCAGGGGCAGAGGCTGAACAGAGAGCAAGAGGGTGCACATCGCGGCCTCCGCTTGGGGGCTTCTCTTCTTGCTCTGTGCAGAAGAGCATGGGATGCACCCAGCCTGTTCCTCTGCTTCCTGTCCCCAGAGTGGCATTGGTAGGCACTGGGAATGCACCTGGTGCCTGACAGAGATGGTGAAGCCGAAGGTCAGCTGCGGCCGGGGGCTCATTCTTGAGTGTCCCCTCTGTCCTAGCCTTTGCGGCGCTGCCAGACCGACCCCTTGCTGTCTGCCCAGGGCAGCCTCAGGAACCCCTGGAGACACCAAAATCCAGGGACATGCGAGTCCCTGGTGAGAGGTGCACGTCCCTGACGTGGCGCAGCGTGGTGTCTCTTGGGCCTGCACACCTTGCCCGTGTGGCCTCCAGGGTACCGTTTACTCAGGCCCTGACCGCTCATCACTGTACGGGTTGAGGGCGGGACCAGCCTGTGGTGAAGCTGAGCTCTGCTTTGGGGGACTTTCTGGGATTCCTCCGCCCCCAAAATATCATTGATGTGCATTTGGGTGACTGCAGGCACAGAACCGGTAGATACGAAGGGCCCCCTGTGCTACGTGGATGCCTCTGGCCCACGGGGCTGACCAAAGTTAGTCCCTTTTTTGCTATTTTTGTTTGTTTTGAGACAGGATCTCACTATGCGGCTCAGGCTGGCCCTGAACTTGCTATATAGCCCAGGTTGCTCTTGAACTCACAGGGATCATCCTGCCTCAGCCTCCCAGAGTGCTGGGGTTGCCATTTCTTACATTACTGCAACTGTCTCGTGTGAAATTCAGAAAGTATTGTTGTGCCAGGGAGATAGCTCAGCGGCTGAAGCAGCTACCTGGCAAGTGCAAGTCCTGAGTTTGATCCCCAAAACAAACAAAAAAGTTATTGTGACAATGTACACACAGTGGCATAGGCTGCCATAACAATACATAAACAGGTGGCTGTGGCCACAGGCGCTGGTCTAGAGCGGTGGCAGACCCGGCTCCCGGCAGCTCCCTATTTTCTTAGGGACTGTGGCCTCACAGTGTGTCCTCGCCGGGCGGGCAGCAGGGAGAGCGAGGGCCCTGCTGTCTTTCCTGGAGGCAGGTGCCTCTCCCCTTGGTCACTGCAGGTAGCCGTGGGTCAGGACCTCAGTGCAGGGACCCGGGCACAGTGACAGTACCTGCTCGTGCACCCAGTGCCCTACCCACCCGCACCGTATTGGAAGTGCCCGGCTCAGCTGCGCTGTGGGGCGGCTGTGCCTGTCCTGGAGCCGCCCTGACGGCACCTCTCTGTCCCCTACACAACGCATGCGTACATGCATGTGTGTCTGTATGCATGTGCATGCTCTGGGGCCCCTCTGGGGCCCACAGCGAGTAACCTCCCCGCTCTGGGTCTCATTTTCCCGTCTAGAGGCCCAGTGATCCCAGTTGTGCCGTGCTTGCTTACCATTGCAGTGCTGACGATCAAGTTCAGGACTCATGGCCTCAGAGGGACGGCCCACCCTGAGAGAGGCTTTCCCCCGAGCAGGGTCCCTGGGCTCCGGGCTGCAGGCTCTGGTCTGACCCCTCCAGCTTTCTGGGTAGAGGTCTGTGTGGGTGCCAACCCCAGAGGGGCAGAACCACCCAGGCTGGGGTGGGAAGTGTGAGCACTCCGGCGGAGCTGCAGTACCGTGAGCGGCCGCTGGGTGTCAGTGTGCCCCGCACACCGCGGGGCTCTGAGCTGGCTAGAGGCGGGCAGAGCCAATTTGTGTGGTCTCCGGAGGAGCTTCTTCCTAGAGGCCCCTGCCTGCAGGGCCCTCTGTCCTGCCTGCAGCTCTGTTCTGACATGGTGGTGGCCGCACCTGTTTGTTGGCCATGAATGCTGTCTAGGGCTGGCCGGCCGGCATCCTGGGCGTGGTGTGGTTTGCTGTTTGGTTGCTAGAATTGCGATTCTGTGTTCAGACGCTGCAGAATCCATCCCGGCAGCGTCTGTGGTTCTGGTCAAGTCCACCCTGCACGGTAGTGGCGGCTTCTGCCAAGTGCAGGATCCAGGGCCAGTGTGAGTTAGGGTGCGTCCGCGAGAGCAGCGCAGTGGCGGTGTCGGGTGGGGAGTACCAGGCTCGCAGCTGGGCCACCGGGCTCAAGGGCCGGGCGTGCAGGGCCAGGTGTGCAGGAGGGCACATGGGAGGCGCCTCTAGGACCAGGAGGGTGGCACTGGGACAGAGCCTGAGTCTTCTGGGGCGAAGCAGAGCGTAGGGGCTCAGGGTGGCTGGGGGTGCCCTGGGGGTGCGGGGTTCCACGGCTTCCGTGTGACACCACTCATCTGTCGGCAGTCGTGGTGAGCGGGGCTGGGAGGTCTGCCTGTTCCCGTTAGGTTGCCGCACGCCTTCACCTATGTAGCTCATTCTAGGTGTTTCATAGCCCAGGGAACATAGGCCTGGGCCCCTTCTGTAGATCAGATAGCGTGAAAAATGAAAACAAGTTGTGTAGTCCCCAGGCCCAGCTCTGAGGTACCAAGCGGGACAGGCTTCAACCTGGGAAATGGGTTGGGGAGGCCCCCAGGGGACGTCTGCCACTCTGCACCTGGTGAAGGCCCTGTGAGTGGACAGTGGCCACTTAGGGCGGTGGACTCAGTGACTGCCATGTGGCAGTGTGATCTTCGCCCTCCCCCGGGCTGGGCCCCCTGCTCCTCCCTGTCAGGTGGGAACACTCAGGAGGCCGGGAGGAATTCACACCCGCTTCTTTCCCTCCCCTTTTCCTTTTTGTCTATCTTTCTGAGACAGGGTCTCCATGTAGCTCAGGCTGGCTTGAGCTCACTTTGTAGCCTAGGCTTGTCTCAAACTCCCAGTGATCCTCCTGCCTCAGCCTCCCAATTGCTGGGATTACAGGCATGTACCACCACAGGCCAAGTCTCAACCCAGCCTAGGAGAGTGAGTGGGAGAAGGGCCGGTGTGACCCTCTATGGGCCGCCCACAGGGTCCCCAAGCTGCCACCCCTGGCTGGGGGCCCAGGGAAGGGGAGCGTGCCCTCCACCTCTGCCTTTCTTTCAGGATATGTGATGGTGTCCAGTTTGGAGCTGGGATCCGGTTCCTGTAGCTGTACTCCCTTGGGCATCTGCACTCCCGGAGTCCCAGCAGCCCGGCAAGCTGGGCCACCGTCCTCGCCAGCGAGCATGTCAATAAATTGTGAAGACACGTGGGCTGCAGCAACACTCTGATTTGCTTCTCCTGGACACCTGTGTCCCTTTGCCTGTGCCACCCTGGGCCCAAGGGTGCTCAGATGACCCTGATTCTCTTTCCTCCCACCTGCCCTGGGAGACCCTGATCCCAAGTGTTACTGTTAAGGCTGGGCATAGGTGTATGTGCAAGTGTGGCGGGCACGGGAGAAGTCACTACACTGTGATGCTGGGGACACTGCGGCGAGCAGGGGTAATGTGTCATCTGTAGACTGGTGGCAGCCACCGAGATTGAAGCCATGAAGCCAGTGGCTGAGACATCGCAGATGGGTGGGCTGTGGGAGGGGCTCTTGATCCCGCCCTGGTCTGGGTTCGTGAGGGCCCTGGCTTGCATCCTTAGCGTTGCAAAGAAAAAGCAGGAGGGTGTAGGGGTGTAGCTCAGGGGCATGGTGCCTGCCTGGTAAGCCCTAGATCCCGCGTTCAGTTCCTAGTTTTATTTTGTTTTTTAATTTCTATTTATTTATTTTTGGTGGAACTGGGGAGCAGTTCCTAGTTTTAAAGAAAGTAAAGGAAAAAGAACAATATCGCAAGCACAGGCTCAGCTCCCGGGGCTCAGGGCTCGAGCCGAGGCCCAGCCGCTGTCCCTCCTGCAGCTCTGCCTGGCCTCGCCCACAGCCGGCGCCCCCGCTGTCCACCTCTGCTCTCCCCCGACCCCCAGGTAATCCAAGATAATCATGCCGCAGGTCAGCCAGCGAGCACCGGGCTGCCTGCTGCCGCCTCCTGGGGGTGTCAGCTCACCTCGAGGACGCCCAGTCCCGAGGCCACGCGGGTGCCCTTGCAGTAGTGTTTCTGCGCACTGCTTAGGGATGCTGCGGAGGGGCGACCTCTGTGCCTGGCCAGCACAGGTGCAGTTTGTTCCCTGAAGATCTGTAGTCCACAGTTGGCTGCGCCGCCCACGATACACAGAGCTGACGGGGTGTTGGGTTCTGGGGTTAGGACGTGGGCACTGAAGGCCTGGCCCTCCCTGGAGCCCTGGGCTGGACCTGGACGGAACCGCAGTGCGCTGCCTCAGGCTGGTTCCCGCCACTGCGTTCCTGTCCCTGGTGCCCTGACACCTTCACCCTACAGAGACAGGATCGAAACACTCGGTGAACATTGAAATAAAATGCGTATAGTGAAAGGCACAGCACCACAGGTCTTCCTCAGAATCCCACCCTAGATTCAGACACGCACCCCATTGTTCCTGCCATGTTCTAAAAACAGTTTCGGAAATCCCCTTTCTGAGTGTCTTTATGTGGCATGATCAAAAATACAGTGACTGGGGCTGGGGAGATGGCTCAGTGGAATGAGCGCTTCCCTGGCAAGCGCAAGGGCCTGACTTCAATCCCACAAAAAAAATAAAAAAATAGAACCAAGTGAAATTTCTGCACCTGCTGGTGGCAGCGAGCTGCGTGATCGAGGCACTGGGGGACGTGTCCTCTCAGAAGTGTGCTTGGAAAGGAGGGCCTGTTCAGTAACTGCACTTCAGGTTTGTTGTGGGGGTAAAAAGCATCTTAATATGTAGTTCAGGCTGGCCTTGAATTCATGGCAATTCTCCTGCCTCGGCCTCCCGCACCTGACTTGGGTAATCTTTGATACTTCGCCAGGACTCAGCAAGTGATAGTTTTGTTTCTGTTCCGGCGCTGCTGAGGGTGGAAGCCAGGGCTTTGGGCCTGCTAGGCTAGTCCCCTGCCCCAGAGCTCCCTCCCGGCCTCCAGCGAGTGGTTGTGTTTTGCAGAGTAACTGCAGAGCCATCAGGACCTTTTCCCACCACTCCCACTCACAGCCAGTGCCCAGGCATGAGTCGTAACCCCGCGTTGGTCATTTGGGGAGCATCGCTTCTCTGAGTCAGTCACGTCTTCCAAATGCCGCCACGTGTCACAGTTACACAGAGGGAAAAGGTCACGTTCATTAATACCCGTGCCAGCTGCCTGGGTGTGGAGGAGCTGCCAAGCTTTGGGGTGGCACGTACACATTTTCTCCAGTGGCAGTTTTCACTTGCAAGCTCACATTTTATCGTTGGCAAGAGATAGTGACAGTTGCTTTCCTTGAAGTTCACTCCATCTTCAAAGCAACGTCTATCAGATGCCCATGTCCAAATAACCCCAGCCTCCCAGTCTCTCTCCTGCAGAGCTGACTTCCAAGCACAGGGCCCGTCGCCGGCCGTCCCTGGGAGCAGGGGCCTTGCGCTGGGGAGGAGCTGGAGGAGGTCCCGACCCCACAGTTCCCAGTGGTGGCTGGGGCTGCAGTCCCAGCGCTCAGGAGGCCGGGACAGGAGGATCCTCATGGGTTTAAAGCCAGCTTGGACTACATAATTCAAGGCAGTCTGAACAACAGGAATACCAAATTAGGCCCCCAGCCCCCTTTTTATTACCAGATATGAGTCATTTCCATCTTCTGGCCCTCAGGCCCTCATCTGTGGGATGGGAGTGCCCAAACCCACTGGCAGTCACAAATATGGCAAAGTGCCTGGTCCCCATGAACTGTTCAGTCTCTGTGCCTGGCACCATCGCCGGGGACTCTTTCTTTCTTCTTTTTTTTTAAATATTTATTTTTATTACATTTATTTATTGTGTGTGTGTGTGTGTGTGTGTGTGTGTGTGTGTGGCCAGCTCAGCCCACCAGGGGGCGGGGCTGGCTGGCATGTGGTGCTGGAGGATTGAACCGCGGTCCTTGTGCTTTGCCAAGCTTGTTTCAAGTAGGTGCTTTAGACCACTGAGCCATCTCTCCAGCCCCGGGGACTCTTTAAAAGACAACCAGATCATAACTTGTCTTGAAAGCAAACTGTAGGTTCTTCCGAGGCGGAAGGCTGGTGCTAGGTTTTGAACGAAATGTGAGTCGTGGCTGGGCTGCAAGTCCAGATCCCACTAGGAGGCTGAGCAGGTCCGCTGAGCGCACACCACGGGCTCACCCGCTGCCTTGCCACCAGGGCGACCCTGGTCAGTTTAGGTGGTGCCTGAGCTGTGGGCCTGTCTGTGGTCTTTTCCTGACCGTCAACGGCTGGATCCTGCCCCCAAATCATCAGGCAAAACTTTTAAGAACAAAGCAGAGGCCCAGTATTATCTTGCTAGAAAAAGAAATGGTAATCAATTCTGAAGAGAAAGGTTCTTTGAATTGGACAGACTCAGGACAGGCCAGTCTCTCTTCCCAGTCCGTTTTCTGACGCAGGAAGTGTTCCTGTCATTTGTCACCGCCTGGGTGAGCCGATCAATTAAAACATTCTGACTTGGGCCAGGTGAGAGAATAGCAGGCCTGATCGATCCATCCGTCACCAGAGAGAGAAGGTGACCTCTGTAGGCGGGAGTCGGAGACCCCGTACGATTGCTTCCATCCTCTTATCACACCCAGAAATTACTGCTCATCACAATGCAATTTCCATGAAATACGAAAACGGCGGAGCTACTGCTGGGAATATTGGAGCATAATGAAGAGACCGTGCCGCGGCCTTGATATGGAACTGGGGAGAGAAGATTGACAAGTGGCCTTATTGGGAAGAAGCGCTGAAATCCAGGTCGCTACTGTCCTGAGCCAAGGTGGGCCGGGCCCTCCCAGCCAGCCCTCGGGAGGCTGGGGCAGGAGGATCACCAAGAGTTTGAGGCCAGCCTGGGCTGTGTAATGAGACTCTGTCTCAAAAACAGGACAATTACATATATGATTCTTCAGGATACTTTAACAGAGGTGTGAACCATCGCTGGTGGCCATGCTAGGCTGGGATTACCAAGGCCCCAGCCAGCCCGGGGTGTTTCCTCTCTCCGACAAGCCGGCTCTACTCCTCCTACTCCAGGCGACCTAGAACAGGAAACAAGTTTTGGGTAGGAAGAGCTTGTGCTCAGGATCAGAGCAGGCACCGCCTCATTCACACGCATGCGCGCTGGGTGCCGGGTGGGCAGCAGCTCCTGTCCTAACGCCAGATCCCCACTGGAAGGGCGGTGTCCCAAGCTATGTCTATCCCTTTCTCTGCAGTCGGCAAACTTCAGTCCGAGCCGCCCCCCCCCTTATGGCGCCCAAGGCCAAGAGCTGTGTGCAGAGACCGGAAAGACCCATGGGAGAAGTCCAGAGACAGGGACAGTCACTGGACGATTCCAGAGGCCACAGCGGATCCCAGGATACAGGAGGGTTCAAAGCGTCGGGTGGCCAGGACGCGCAAGCACCTGTCTTATGGGATGAGGCCGCCCAGGTGGGCTCAGCTGAGCTGGCGAGCAGCAGCTCTCGGGGCTTCCCACTCCCAGCGCTGGTGTCCTCCTTTCTGCCTCTCCCCAGGGCCAGCGGGCATAGGGTGCTGCGCTTGCTGTGAATGCTAAGGAAAATGGGGCGCTATCGACCCAAACCAGCCTGAGGGAGAGGAAGAGTTAGGAATAGCTTCTGGGGCAACAGCACCCTTGTGGCAGGGGTGGGGAGTGGGTAGGGGAGGATGTGGGCGCTACAGGCTAAAAAAAGTCTTTGTTTTACAGTGATGCAGCAAAACTTTTGGTAGTTCTTGAGCGGGGTATGGTGACACCGGCCTGCCATCCAGCACTTGGGAAGCTGAGGCAGGAGGGTCACCTAGAGTCAAGGCCAGCCTGGGCTACACAGTGAGACCCTGTCTCAAGGAAACAGTAACTAGATACATTCTGGTGGAGCCCTGAGCCTCGCTGTCACCTGTGAGACAAACGCTCTACCCCTGCTTGTGCCCCCGCCTTAAGGACATGGCTATAATGTACCCCACCCAGTGTCTTCTGTGACCCCCACATGTCAGTGTGGGGAGCGTTTGCCCAGCATGCAGGAGGCCCGGGTTTCATCCCTAGTGCTGCAAAAAGGAAAAAGGTGCTTCAAGGGAAGCCTTTGCCGCAGAGGAGGCAAGGCGGTGTCCCTCACCCCTCAAGTCTGAGCCCCTCACATTTGCCATTTGCCCCGGCACCTGGGCACGAGGACCCACAGCTGCACTTCCTGGGCACAGGGCGGTGCTGAGGAGCCCAGGAGAAGTGGGGTCTGTTGCGCCCGC